GTTGGCTCTTGATACCACTGTCAAAACCAAAACAAGAGAGTCTACTGCCAAATCTCCTGCAGCTGGGATCGAACCCAGCACTACAAGGCGAATTCGCAACGCCTAACACTAACAGCATCATGTGTGGTGACTTTAACGCAAGGGGTCGGCTATGTGGCAACATGACCGTCAACAAACATTGTAAGGCATTGAAGGAGGCACTGACAGTCACAGAGTTAATCTGCTTGAACGATGGCAGACCCACCAGACCCCCTGACAGACAAGGCAATACTGACAGCGCCCTCGATCTCGCTCTGGTCTCCCCCAGCATGAGTGTTCTCTGCCAGTGGGGTGTACTGGGACATCATGGAAGCGACCACCTTCCATGCTCGATTTTGGTCAAGAAAACGACACGCACAAGGTCCCAGAAACTATTAGCCATTTTTAAGTACGGGGTATACCAGACATGTAATTGACCACGCCAGTCGTGAGGTACAGAAATCGATAAAATGATCATAATGAGATACTTTTGCATAACTTTCGACAGATGCTTGTCATACAATAATCACGTAGACAATGTCATAGTTAGAGCCAGGAAAGGTCTGAAGGTGCTGAGGGCAATGGCATACGTCGACAATGAACAACGACTTCTGTTCCTGCTCTATCTGGGACTAGTATTAAGTGTTATAGACTACGGCCTGTGGCTCCTCACTGTCAGCAGAACCCAGCTAGAAAGACTGGACCGGGTACAAAAGGAGGCCATGAGACTCACACTTTGCTGCACAAAAGACACCTCGTGCCTCGCCAGGCGGTATGTTCTGTGTTTACCGACGATGGTCACCAGACATAAAGTAACACAGGTGAAAGCGTAAATGAGTATATCTGCAGATATCAACCACCTACTGCACAACGCTAGCAACGATATAAAAGGGATGCGTCTTGAAAAAGGCCCCTCTTGGATGACCGAGGCAGAAAAATTATATGAGCAATTATGAGACCTAGACGAGATCAGTCACTGAAAAGAATGCATGGATACACCAGGAGACATGCATGACTTGTCTAAGGTTGTCATAACACTGGGAAAGTACAACAGAAGTCAGATACCTGCGACCGTAGACGCCGACATTAGTGCACTGATTGATCAGCATTCAGGCCTAGAAAACGTCGTCATTTACACAGATGGGTCCGTGAAACGCGAATCAAGATGCCATGGTCATACACAGCACAAAGGATGGGGAAAGCGATGCTTACCAGACAACTACGTTAAGCATGAACATGGAGATAAATGCTGCTTCCAGAGCACTCGCATGGGTAGCAGAACAAGCGACCGCATTTGCGGTAATCGTTTCAGACTCTATGAACATGCTTCAGAAAATAACTAACTACAGTTAGTTTACGTTCCGAATGAGTAGAAAGCATACGAAAGTCGCAGTTAACCTCCATCATCTGGATCTACACAGCTGGGCACGCAGGAGTACATGCAAACGAAAGAGCTGACCAGCTGGCAAGTAATGCACCAATGCAAATGGGAAGAAGCATGGACAAAGCTGATATCATCAACTCATAACGGCGAATCTCTGACGCTAACACAGCCTCGTGACCCAGGAGTTAAGTTTAATTAAGCACGCCTGTCGTCTTCGAGGTAAGGACAGGAGATACTATGTAACCAACTCTTCATGGGAACAATCGGTAGAGGTAACTTGGGAGTGGCTGCTGCATCGGAGGAATGAGCACACATGGGAATGTCTAAAGATATCGATTGTGATAACATAACATAGCAACGCCTATACCTAGGTTGTGCGTACATTCCCAATATAGCATGTTGACATACGATAAGATGCTTCAGTTTGTGAATCACTGCTTTGTGTGTGTGTGTACGCTTTTGTTGTGTGCGTAGTAACAATGTACTCATTGGGTGAGAATGGCGTTCTCTATACAACAGCTCGTATTGTATTGTGACTGACTGGTTTAGTGTCGTGTGTAGATACTTAGTGGCTGTGATGGGATATAGTGCCGTTGTCATGACTACGTTCACGAAACATCGCCAACTGTAAAAAAGACTACAAAAGCGAAAGCTACGGGAACACTAGTACTAGACAAGGGAGATATTCTGAAGACCATAAGTGAACGACTTTTAGCAGAAGAAACGAGATTAGATGAAAGAACATGTGAACGAAGAATTAAGTGTGGATCCGACAAGGAGGGACGGATGAGAGGAAGAGATCAGCAAGTGTATAATCAGTGTGCTCTGGGAACAGTTAGCATCTACACCTTACGTCAATTACTGCAGGAGAGGGAGCATCTATGCGTATGCCCGGTGTGCTACGATGTTGATTCTTAAATCAGTGATCAGTCTTGATTTTAAATTTCTCTTGATCTTCTTATTAGTGTTCACCAGCTGTAAACTCCAGCTGAAAGTTCTGATTACTCGTCCACCTCCGAACTCTGGTCTTGATCCAGAACTTGAGTTTTTGCATGCACATCTGTTTTACTTGTATGCAGACTGCTGGTTCCTTGCCTCTCAGGCAGACACACTCTGACCTTGAATGAAACACCCCAAATTAGTTGCCTCCTGCAACATGCTTCTTAAAGAGGCAGTAGGTCTACTCCCTGTTTTCCAAAATGGAGGCCCTGAGCCCGTACAAGATTTTCAGTCAAGATTAGAAATTGTACTGAAGCAATTTTCTCTGAAGACTTCAACCATCACCATCACGTCCAGGTGTTCTTGATATTCTGTGTCCAGTAACGTGATGGTCGAATCCTGCCTCTTATTCCAGGAACCATAATCTCCATTAATCTTCTCTCCAAATCAATATGGCCGAATTAATTCAGTTTACGAGAAATTCAGTATTTATCCTTTTCTTAATTGAGTAGAGATGAGTTGAGTCAAGAATTTACATCACAGCACTCGGGGCATGCTCTGTTCTCATCTTCAGCAGCCAGCAGAGTTCCAATACTGATAGTACCCGTCACAATCTGATTTTATGTCTGTCTTGCAGCTCCTCTGAGTGAAGGTGAGCTTTTCTTAATTGGTGACATTCTAATTTACTACAATCACATCTGACTAAAAAAAAACTATAACAGCTCTGAATCACCATCATTCAAATATTTATTTAAAAGAACAAAACTATTACCAGACAAATTCTGATCCCAAAAATATCTTGTATTCAGTTTTCTCTGTTAAAATCTGATATACATGCAAGCGTACACAACAACATGACTATATTTGTGCTTTACTTTCAAAACTGAGACTGATCTAATGATAATATAATAATAATTTGTCAAGTTTTGTTGTTGTTTGTGAGGTAAATCATTTACTGTGTACTTCTCTTCTCTAAAATGTGTCTATATTCTTTACTGTGCCATCTATTTTGTTATTTAGGTTACTGCTGCATGATCTTGAGTCTTTGTTTTAGTTTACAACTGAGACAATGTGATAACATACACAAAATGTTCTTGCATGGGAACCCACAGGGTTAAAAGAATAAAGGCAGAACCAACATACACATGGAGATACAAATTTATGAATTAGAGGGTGAAGAAGAAAGAGAGAACACTGGGTGAGATACATGGCAATGGCAAAGAAGAGATGACTCGGTGAGAGTGGGTTGAGCTGCTCAAGTGCCACAGGAAAGGGTGGGGAAAAAAAAAAGGGGGGGGGGGGGGGGGACAGAAGAATTTTAAATTTAAATAATGACTGTAACTGATACTAACAGGTATGAAAGGAGATACAGTTATTTTGAGTTACCCTGTGGTGACATAAGTAACCAGCTGTCCCTTGTAAGTTGGTTGAGATTTAAAAAAAAAAAAATTTACATACACCAAAAAAAAAAGGGCGGGGGGGGGGGGGGGGAGTCCTAGTGTGTGAGTGTCATAAAATTTTATCATTACTAAAAGTTATAGTAGCTTAATAAAAAAAATGCTGAAAAATAAAGCCCTACAAAGAATTTATTGGAAACAGGCAGCACACACATTTTGGTTCCATTCTTTGGTGAAATAAGTAGTGCTTCTATACTGGATGTCAAAAATAATGCAATAGCCTGTATGATGTGACAACTGCTGGGCAAGGACAGATTACTTTTTGTTGTGAGTAACCCTCCTAGCAGACACCAACAAACCAACAGGGCAAAAGATACAGGGTACTAAAAGCACACACAGCAGGTAATTATGTACAGATCAATAATAATTCTCCTTTCTGTTTGATCCTACTGCTTGTGCCGCAAAGCGTCGCAGAGAGGAATTATATGTAGTGTCTTTTGTTAGTTGTTTTGTGTTAATGTCATACTGAAATTCTGTCTGTTTTACTCTTTTCACCCATGTGTTTCTTGGTCAGCCTCTTGCCTTGTAGCCTGCTGTTCCCATGTAGTATGTTGTAGCTACTGGCTGATTTTGTTTCATTTTGACCAGATGACCAAACCATTTGATTCTTTGATGTTCAATGAAATCATTCACCGGTACTGAGTCTACTTTGTTGTTCTTAGTTTTTCATTGATGACCTAGCCTCTTCTTGTTTTCCCGCCACATTTCTTACAATAATATAGGCAGGTTATTATAGACAAGTCAGGGTGTAGAGAACAGACAAAGAGACCTCCTGGTCCTATAGGTTGGCGGCTGAAGCCTGGGCCAACGCCCACACCTTTGCAAAACCTCATTTCATCACAAAACTGATATTTAAGTTTCAAATGGAGTCACCAACTGGAAAGTTAAGACCAAACACAGAGATAAATGGAGGTGGGAACATTTGCAGCAATGAGCCTCAAGGAACCAGAATATTGAAGAATGATGATAATACAGAGCTGCAGATACGGTAGAAGATAGGACTACCTGGCATGGGTTGACTGAGGACATACACTCGAGACAAAGGGCAGGAGAAGAAGAAGAAAAAGACAATAATGCAGCAAATTATGAAGTGACCGATAGTTACAGATAAATATGGACATTATTTTCTTGTGCCTAACAACTTACACACACAAGTAACAGAGTACAGAAATATAGAAAGTCAGATTAATTGTTGTTGTAGTTTATTTCTTCTTTCCTGTGAGTCCAGCGCCAGCGTTAAATTTAAAGAAGATAATGTCTCCATCTTGAACAACATAATCCCGTCCTTTCTGCTTGTATTTGCCAGCCGCCTGTAAAATTGTTAAGACTAGTTAGATTCACAGTGGCAGAAAATCTCTACTATTGTTATTCTACAGATGATACTCCGGCCAGAAGGAAGAAGAGAAGACAACAAAGAAGATAAGACAGACAAAACAAGCAAAATATTACAAACAAGCAAAATATTAATATTTTACTTTCTATAATTCAAGCATTGACCATAATAATAATAGGAAGAGGAAGATCAGAAGAAGAGAAGAATTCATAGGAGACGAATCAAAGGAAAACATCAAGTAGAACTAAAAGATGAAAAGGATACTGCAGGCAGTTTTATGAAAATGTATCCAATATTCTATAAGCCCTCCTCAATACTTTGAACTACCCGCCTAATCACAAACAACCCTGCACAGAAACTCTACTTTCCCTTCTATTGTCACCCATCTACCAATGCAGCACAGGTATAGACCCCTTCATAGCATGTTCCAGGGTGCCGGAACATAGGTGCTCAAGCTCATTAGGGTTACTGCCCCACCCCTTTAACTTGTTAAGTACCTGCTCATACATTTCATTTTATTACATGTATATATGGTTCTTTAAGGAAACTGTGGTGCTCTGCCTTCTGGTATAAAGGTTGCGGATTCAAATCCACATTGAGCCAGATTTTAAAAAATGACCCTGGCTCCCAGGTTTACACAGCACAAAACTGGCACCAAGTAAAAGCCATGGGAAGCAAAGGCAGCCTGTGTGAAATTGATCACATCTCCTATTGAAGGTCATAAAAACATGAGTCTAGAATGACATGCCCCAGTGGTATAAAAAAAGGTCCTTTACTTCGCTTTGCCATTCAGCACATTATTATTACTTTTATTATCGTGCACTTAAACAAGGATTAAGTAGCTTGAGGCCCCCTTCAAATTTACAAGGGAGCCGAGGCCCGTCCTCCAATATATTCTTTGTGTCGGCCCCCTTGTGATGTTCATCATGAATTGCTGGGTTCTGCATGTCACTGAATGCTGCATTAAGAACCTACATCACAGCACTCGGGACATTCCCATAAAGGGCCCTGTCCCCATCTTCAGCAGCATGCCCAGAGTTCCAATCCTAATGGTACCAGTAACAGTCTGACTGTAAATCCATTTTGCATTTCCCTTGAGTGTTCAGCATTAAGCATCTCCTGGTCGTCAATTTTCTATGCATCAAGGTAGCCTAGCATCACGACAACACACCTCAATCACCTATTAAAACACACCCAACAGTCTACCCAGACCTCCTTGGTTTAACCAACAAACAACCCACCTTCACTTCATTCTCTGTCTTGTGTTCAAAGAAGTCATCGTAGGCCATGACTTCTGCCATAATAAAACCTTTCTCAAAGTCGGTGTGGATTCGTCCAGCAGCCCCAGGGGCCTTGGTACCCACCTGAAACAGTAACATGGCCACAAATTATGGAAGACAAGCAAGCCCTGGAGGAAATCACAGTTGTGAATGTGCAACCCCAGATTAGAGAAAGAACAGATTATTCTGGAGTTGTGATTATGTAACTAGAGATTATGGAAACAAAGGAGGAAGTCAGAACTGTGAATATGCAACTAAGCACTGGGGGGTGAAAAAGGGGGGGGGGGGGGGGGGGAATGTGATTAAGAGTTGAGAACATACAACTAGAGATTAGAGAAACAATATAATGGAGAGTTGAGAATATGCAATTAGGGATTAGAAAAACAATATGATATAGTGTTGAGAACATACAACTAGAGATTAGAGAAAATATATTGTAGAGTTGAGAACATACAACTAAAGATTAGAGAAACAATATAATGTAGAGTTGACAATATGCAATTAAGGATTAGAAAAACAATATGACATAGAGACTAGAGAAACAATATCATGTTGAGTTGAAAATATGCAACTACAGAATACAGACAGAGTATGACAGGAGTTCAGAATATATAACTGGAGATTAGAGAAACAATATGATGGAGAGGTGAGTATACACAATTAGAGATTAGTAAAACAATGTGACAAAGAGTTGAGAATAGGCAACTAGAAATTAGACAGACAATGTGGCAGAGAGTTGAGATTCTGCAACTAGATAAACAATGTGACAGACAGTTGAGAATATTCAACTAAAGAAGCAATGTGACCAAGAGTTAATATTCAAAGTAGAGAACTGAGAAACATTCAGAGATGAAAATGTGCATTTTTACAAGAGAAACACAGGAGAAACAGAACCTACTTGAATCGTCCAAGCCTTGACCTCGTCCTTGCCTGCCGTGAAGAAGTAGATTAGGTTCAGAGCCTTGTAGCCATTCACAATAATCTTCTCCAGGGCACTGTTGGAAATCATTACAAACATCAATGCATGAATGACATGACTGTATTGATGACAGGACTATGTTAACACATTAGCGTATCATTTGTCTATTACTTAAACAACTGTGTCAATAGTTTATTGACAATGTATCACATATCTGATTCAGCAAATTAAAACACTGTATTTGTTATATGACTGTATTAACAACATGACTTTATGAATTCATGACTTACAAGTGTGGGTTCTGAGAGAGGAGTGGTGAGGAACACAGACCTAATGCCCCCCCCCAGGAATGACACAAAAGGTGACTTATAAGGAGTTGAAATCGGAAGTGCTGGGCCCAAGGCGCAGATACAGTAGACTAGTTTTAAACCACAACAAAACATGCCAACCCTTTTGAGGACAAAAGCAGAATTTATTACTATACTTCAGCTACTTGACTACAATAATCATAACTGTCTCATTAAATGGATATTTCCGCCATTGCTGGTCCCAAAACCAGATGAGAAAAGAGGAGGGTTGTGAGTGCGGCCAGCTCCCCCACCCTGTGAAAAAATTTATTTGCTAAAGAAACTTTCAGAAAAGGATGCCATTCCATTAAACAAGATGACGCATCCTGAGAAGCTAACAGTTGAGAATCACCCAACAGGTAATAAAATCGGAAATAAAAAGATTAAGGAGGCAAGGATGCCCAAAAGAAACCTTAAGACAAACGTTGATGAGAGAAGCCAAAGCTGCTAGACTAGATTCCATCCGTGATACTGAACAGATTGCACAGGATTGAACGGAATAGAGGAACAGACAGCGAGCCCAATGTGACATGTAATGAAAAAATAATTCGGTGGAAAATATATTTCGTCCCAATCTACTACAGTCACTAAGCAGGGCTAGTGAGGAAGCAGAAGACAACATGTGTTATGTTCACAAGAAATACCGATACCCTATTTAAGTCACCTGGAAGTTTCATGCTCCTTCAAATATGCATCTCTTTCCTCCTGAGTGGCCATTTCCAGCAGCTTGAGTTCCAAAGCTCCACTGAACAGAATAACTGTAGCCCCATGATCCTTGGCATCAATCCACTCCTTTATTTTAAGCAGCCTGTGAGGTATACATAATGAGTAAATTAATCGATCAAGAATAGACATCAGTCAATTTAGAACATGCAAAAATGTTTACAGAGCTGGCTTATTTACATACAAGTGTGCAGAGTGCTGGTTCCTCCCCTCTCTGGCAGATGCATGCTGACTTCGAAGGAAGAGTTCATCCTATCTATATAGACCAGGGTCCCGTATGGGAGCTTGTTTCTAGGATAACTACAGAAAGATGTAGACAGGTCTTGACCAGTATGAGCCCAGGTCTTCATGTAACATCATGTGTGGTTCGGCACCTCTGCATCCCACATGCTGTTTGATGTTTATGGATCTATTTATGCACATAGACTGGAACAGAACTAAGAGAAATAGGGAAAGATAGAAACAACAGTACTTGACAAATGCACACACACACTCTGTGTGTGTGTGTGCACGCGCGCGAGAGAGAGAGAGAGAGAGAGAGAGAATGCAAGAGGCGAGGAAGAGACTGACACATGTACATGCACTCATATGAAAAATCTCTATTTCAGTGATATAACATTATAGGAATTCTCAAACTAAACCTGTTAAAGGATTTTTGTAAAAGAACACCTCTATACATTTAAAAACACACCGCAACACATCTTTATTAACACCTAATCTAAGATATACAAATACTGAATCATACCATTTATTTTTTTTCCTAATGTAGTCCTTCTCTGACAAGTTGACCAGGTAAATGACAGGTTTGGAGGTTAAAAATAAATGTTGATTTAAAATTTCAATCTGAAACACAACAAATGAGTATAATTATCATAATGTAGTAAGTTTCAGGCATTGTACATATTGAAGGACTAGTGAAGTACTTATCTCAAAAGAAGTCATTAGAGACAAATACTATATATATATATATATATATATATATATATATATATATATATATATATATATAATATATATATATATATATATATATATATATATATATATATATATATATATATATATGACACACAAAACATACAAACACCCTGAGGGTGCAGCACTGCTCCAGGCCCTGACGGCATCCGATACAACGACATGCTGATGATGTCGAATGCTATTTGAAAAGCGTGGCAAAGGAATTCAATATCAGCATCCAGAGTGGCCAGATACAAGAGGAATGGCTCCATAGTTATTTGTTCCCACTACCAAAGCCTAATAAAGACCACTCGAAGATCTGCGGCTACAGAATCATTTCGATGCAGAATACTGTTGGCAAACTTTTGGAAAAAATTGTCGCACAAAGATTGACCACCTACTTGGAACTACATGATAAGTTCCCACCAACACTTGGAGGGTACAGGTTAAATAAAGAGACATGGTTCAATGCTGCAGTTTTCGCCTACGATGTGTACGAGGGATTTCAGATTAAAGTGTGCGGCAGTGTTGGACTTAGAAGATGCCTACAATAAAGTACCATACGATTATTTAATGCAATTACTGCTTAAACTAGAAGTTAATCCTATTCTGATCCGCTGGATTGCTGCGGTCCTGTTCCAGAGAAAGATTGTACTAAGATGTGATAGCTGGTCCTCCGAACCGCAAACGATATGTCCAGGCTTGCCACAGGGATCACCGCTATCACCAGTCTTATTCAACGTTTACACAGTGATGATCACTGAGCAGCAGTTGAATGGAAAGGGAAGGACTTTGTCATTTGCTGATGACATTTTGATTTATCGACGAGGGCATGATAGACAGGAGATCGCCAGCACTATGCACAAAGAACTCGATCGAATTGCCGCCTGGTGTGATGGTTCCAATGCCTATGTCAATCCTTCGAAGGCATCAGTGTCATGGTTCTCTTTGAACAATCACATTGTCAAGTCGGACTTACCAGAAGTGAAAATGCGTGATAATGTATTGATCAGAACCAACGTTATGACGTTTCTCGGGGTGAGGTTCGATCGCAGCTTGTCATTCAGGGAACACGTTGACCATGTGATAACAAAAGCACGCAAGGGTCTGTCTGCAATGAGGATTATGGCTGCTTCCAATATTGAGCAAAGACTACTAATACTTCTATTCTACGGTCTGGTCCTTTTCCCCATTGAATACGCTCTGGCCATCCTCACTGTCAGTGCTACCCAGATTGAACGACTCGAAAAGGTGCAAAATGAAGCCATGCGCATTATTTTGGGATGTACTAGAGACACATCCTGTGGAGCAATGAGGTATCTACTTGACTTTCCAACAATGAACCAAAGGATCAGGATGTGGAGGGCTCGGGCATATGTCAAAATATGCGCTGATAAGAAACACCCACTGCATCAAGCGCTTTTTAGTGAAAAGGGCGACAGACTGAAGAGGAGGAAATCGTGGCTAGGTCGGGCAGAAGATGTTATTAGGCAAATATGCAGCCTAACCGACATCATACCTGGTGCAGAATGGATACCTGTGCCTCAGGCGTTTATTTGTACATTTTCCTGTATTGTCACACTCAACAGGCGATGTAGAGAAGAGAATCCTGTTGCTGTTAATGCAGAGGTCAACGCTCTCATCGGTGAAAATTCAGACGAAGCAGATGCGATAATCTATACAGACGGATCCGTTATACGCCAAAGAAGAAGCGCATGGGCATTTACAGCACGCTCAGCGGGCAGAACAGTCAAAGAAGCCAACGGCGCCTTCTCCATGACAACCAGCAGCATGACGATGGAGGTGATGGCAGTGACACAAGCGCTTGCCTGGCTTGAAACACAAAAATACACCCGCGTGTGTATACTCAGTGATTCAATGAGTATGATCCGGAGGGTTCAGGCAGGTTCAGTGCGAAAACAATGGCTTGAATCATTACAGAAGTCCACTGTTCGTGGAGTCACCTTTATTTTTGTTCCGGGACACGCAGGCGTCGATGGAAATGAAAGAGCTGACAGGTTGGCTGGATCCGCTATCACTACCGACGGTCAGCCTATGGATCATGCTGATATTATCAATGCCCTCAGAGAAATGGGAAGAATAGAGGACTTTGGTGGCAGTGAATCCACATCACTCGCCAGAATGGCAGACTTGGGAATTAAGATCGGCACAGCAAAAAATGAGACGCACACCAGCTACGCCAGAAGACTTGTTAATCAACATAGAACTGGTACTATTAGCCATCGGACGTTGGGGTTCATACTGAGGGGAGGATCTGAGCACCTATGGACATGTCCGGAGTGCAATGAGGATAACCCAACTAACTAACTAACATACAAACACGCACACGATCTGACCATTAAATAATGAGACTAACGTAATTATGGCCAAGACAAAACAGGCACTAGTCATACATGATTTGGCCAACTGCAACACAGCCAGGCCAGCAGACGACAAAAACCCGCTATTTTGTTAAACTAGTGAAAATAGCTTTGTGACATATGTGATGTAGGCAGCGTGGAGCAAAGAAAAAAACATGACATTATGTTTGGAAATTATGAAAATAAAAGTTCTATTGAGATAGGTGAATTAGAGTCTATGAGAGTTTATGAGAGATCAATGTTTACTTCATGCAGATATTTTAGGATTTAAAACACATAGACAATTAAAGATAAAGCTAGGCAGGGATGTCCAGTTTCTGTTTTTAATGATTAACACATTGCCAAAGTCAGAGAACCCATACACATAGACTGATGTCTGATACATGTCCTCTTTAGGATAGTAAAAACCAACCCTAGCATTTATTAGCCATTTTTACAGGTAGTTTGTCACTGTTTTCTGAATTGCTATGATGATTACCATTATGTGTCATTCCAATAAATGCAGGCTGTCCTGCATCAACATCTCACATAATCACCAGAATCATGGATTAGGTCAGTGCTCTTGTTTCACCCACATGCATATGGCAAAGTTATCCAGGCATTGATCTCTCTGACTTATTCTTGATGTCTTTACATCATTCCTAGCAGGTATTTTCAAGTTCTTCAGATCAAACAAATCTCACATCATTTTAAAAATCAATGCAAAGCATGGCTACCAAATCGAATGCTTCTGAACCCGGGTAGGTCTGGATTGTGAAACTGAATTTATAACTCAAAAACTACAGAAGCTGACAAAAATACTGAGTAGAAATTCTGAAGTAAGCAAAATAAAGTCACTGTATAGAAATTCTGAAGCAAGCAATACCTCCCTGGGATCCCAATGACTATTGCGCACCCATTTGTTGTCATTCAGAAGATCCTGCACCTTTTTTAACACTTCCTGAAGAAAACAGAAAATACAAGTGGTTACTGTAGATTGATTGATTTGTCTAAATGATCACCATCATTACACATCAGTATCTCTTCTTCTTTGTCAGCAATTGCTATCTGTCTATTCAGAATGGACCATAAACCATTGCAGGATTAACTCTGTCTTTGTGGAGAGAATTATAATCTCTTTATTTCATGGATGATGCTATTCTGTTAGATACATTAGACGGCATGAAGGACAGATTCTTAGTCTGTGAATAAAACAATTTGTATTTATGTTCCGCTTCACTACTGAGAGTCTGCTGAAAGGAGGACGATTGCTTCTGCTCTAAAGCTGGTGTAAGTTTCTTCTGTGGCTGTGGAATATGTTTGTGTTGCCATTTAGGCTTGTTATCTAAATCCATTGCCTATCTTTTTTTTTTTTGTGTGGCTTCTTTAGCAGAACCATCTGTGAACCTAGGGGTTCAAATAACAGAGGGATACTGTCTCCTGTGCAAGTAAATGACCCTTTTCCACACCATTAGGCTTATAGAGCATATAGGGCTAGACCTATATTTTTATAGACCAATCGGCACAAGATGGGTCTTCCGTGCATGACAAGTCAAAGAGCTGTTTGCTTTCATAAACATTGGGGGGAAAGGAATTACTCCCAGGACTTTCACAATAGGTTGGACAGGTCTTGACAGCTCATCCATGGTTCTGGTGTGAGAATGAATAGCTCCATAAGTGTCCCAGTCTCTTCCCAAGGTGAATCACAACATAAGTGAACAGCTCCTTGTTGCAAAACTTGAGTGCTGCATGCACATCCATTTTACAGATCTGGATTATTTGTGTGCCGGCTGTCAGTTCCTCGCCTCTCAAATAGATGCACTTAAAGGAAACATCCTTTCCCTCTGTGCTGGCCAGGCTCCCTAACCTGTTTCTAGGTTGACCATTGATGCAGAGATAGGTCTTGACCCAACAGAAGACTTGATTCTGGTGCATCATTGCATGTGGTTCAGCACCTTCCTGGATAAACCAGAACCACAATTCATTTAAAACCAGTCTCACAGTAACACTTCCATACACTGGGATATTTTGAAAAAAAAAAAAAAAAAAAAATTTTTACCAATGAAAAATCTAGAATACAATCTGGAAATAAAGTATACTATGCATTTCAACATCTGCTAAAGTAAAAGTGTCTGTCCCACAACACCAAGATCAAAATAGATCAAATGTTGATAAGACCAGTGGTTTTATATGGCTCTGAAACTTGGAGCACAACTAAAAGAAAGGAAGCCTTTTTACAGGTTTTCTTATGACAAATATTTGGATCCATCTAAGATGCTAACAGCGGTGAATGGAGAGTGAGAAGCAACAACGAAATTCATAATCTGTTTAAATCACCACTGATCACTGGCATCATGACAGCTAATAGACTGAAATGGTTGGGGCATTTTCAGAGAATGTCGGATGACAGAGAGGTAAAAACTATACACTAGAGAGATGAATGGTCGTAGACCAGGAGGCAGACCAAGAAGACGATGGAGATATAACATCCAGACAGACCTGCAAACACTTGGTGTCACCAATTAGAAAGAGAAGGCCAACCAGAGAGATGAATGGAGGCGGGTGATATCTGCAGCAATGAACCTCAAGGGCTCGGAATGCTGAAGAAGAAGAAGAAAACTGTGTTGTCCGCTGTTCAGTTACAAATAATGATTTATGACATTTTTGTTTTATCATCATCATCAGTTCTCGTTATGCCTAGTGGCACATGAGGCTTCAGAGAGGACTTTCCATGCTTTTCTGTCCTGTGCAATCTTCAGTGCAGTTTTCCATGTCAAAGATGCCGCACTCAGGTCACTTTCCATCGTTCATCTCCTTGTTGTTTTTTGGGCGCTTTTCTCTTTCCCTCTGGTGTCCATGTGAGAGCTGTTTTTGCGGGTAAATCAGGATTCATTCTCATAACGTGGCGAAGCCATTTCCATCTTCTCTTGGTTATCATACTGTCTAAAGTTTGTTTTATAAACCACCATTACACATTTCTGGCATCTCCTACTCACAAATTCTTCCTTCTTCTTCTTGTCTGCTCCACCTCTAGTCACACTTCTCTCCAGTGGCTCAAAGTGTTTGCTCAGGTATTCTAAATCTTTCAGCCGGATCTCATCATGAATGATCTCCAAGTCACGGGACGGGTCGACATCACCCTCAACATGGATAATTTCTTCGTCTGAGAATGCACCTGTGGATACAGAAAAATCTACTATTAGGTTAGTTTCACTTGTGTGTTACCAGGGTTTATAAAGAAAAGCAAAGAATATAAAACCCTGTACACACCATACCAGGAGCCACCATGGTGTAGCGGCCAGACACTCAGCTGCAGATCGGAAGATAATTTTTTTTCAAACACCCTTGGCTCCCAGATCGACACAGCCTTGTGTGTGTATGAGGTATAATCCTAAGATTCAAAGAAGTAAAAGTGGCAGCGTGATGTTTACTACATTTGTTGACTGGTCTATAAAATATAAATCAAGCCATATATGCCTGAAAGCATGGAAAAGGGTTCTTTACACCATATCACCTGTGGGCTGCCACAATCCACACAGGAAAGTCAAGTAATAGTAACTTCAAGGTAGAGTATGTGTAACAGGAGACTTTTGACCTTCAGAAGTTGCTTTGCCGAATGTTTCTGCCCCGCCTTACTAAAACTCTGGCTGCGGACACACCCAGCTCACGACTCTCAAAATAGTAACATTCCCTGTGTGAGTTCTAGGGCCCTCCCAACAAGCATGTTGTAAACGTCAACTAATTAGGGGTGTTTACTTTGAAGTAGGAGTGTATCTGCCTGAGAGACGAGGAACCAACAGTCTGCTTACAAATAAGTCAGATCTGTCAAATGGGTGTGCATTAAAAACTCAAGTCCTGTAACAAAACTCAAGTCTAGAAGTGGACCAACAAAACTTTCTGCCACAGTGGTAGAACAGCTGGTGCCCCAGAAGAATGGTAACACTTTTACCTAAATGCATGATGTAAGAGGTGACTAATAAAGGCTGGCTTGAGACTGACCACCTCATCCAATGGATGCAATCGGATATCTCCATAAGCACTCCAGTCTCCCCCTACAGGTTATAAAGGAGTATCCCAGCACTGCACAAAAACTCCTAACCACTGATTTAGATTTAAAAGCCTGTATACTAAAATCAAAAACAATAAACATTGTTCTTCATGGGTAAGTATCTATTAATCTGTTAAGAACCATTTATAAATGAATGCTGATGTTAGTTTAAACATTTTTTAAACATGAATTTGAAACTGTGGATCTGACAAGAAAGGACATATGAGAGAAAGAGTTTAATGTGTGTACAACTGGAACAGTCTGTATGCTATCATCTTGACTGTTACATCAGTGTCTAAACTGGGAAACTGTCAAAGCAGAAGCCTTTTTGGCCTGTTCATTTTATATTTATGTCAAGGGATTCTGAAACAGCACAACATGTACACAGGTTTTTCATGTTTTTATTACTTATCTGAAAAAAGTTAATGTCGAACCCTAGGACCAAGGGAGTATTACTTCTATATATATTGGTAACAAAGTAGGGATGACTGCAATCAAGCTGGTATCAATCAAGAAGTTTGTTTTAGGTTAATTTTAACAAGAATACAACTCCTCTCCTTCAGTTACCTTAATGAAGCACTGAAGGGTCTTCTGTGGGATTTTTCTAATGTGTTATATAACTGTTGCTCTTTGATGAAATGTTTGACTGGTTTCAGTCCTAGCCATCTTCTGATTCAGTGCTTCTCAACCTTCATAATGCTGCGACCCTATAATATCGTTCCTCATGCTGTGGTGACCCCCAACTATAAAATTATTTTCGTTGCTACTTCATAACTTCACTGAATATGTCTTCTTCTTCTTCGATCCTTCTGTCAGAAAACTTATATCAGGAGGCCGGTAGCCTTTATGAAAGCTATCGTGCAATCCATATCCTCTCGTGTACCATACAGTTTTGTCTTCATTGTGGTTGGAACAGGCCAGATTGCGTCTCTGTTGTCAGCATACAGTTGACAGTGTTGGAGCACATGCTCAGCATTTTCGGGTGCCACGCTGCAGTGCAAGGACACGTCTCCGTATTTCCTACACCGAAAAATTTGAGCATATGTTGACGAAATCTGTTGTGCCCTGTCCTTAGTCTGAATATAATAGACTGTCCCTCTCTAGAGAGGCGATGAAGTGAGTCTTGGGGAGAAAATCTGTTGTGGGTATCCAGCCACCTTTCTTGGATACTAGATTGTATTAGTGTTTTCATCTCTTGGTGGGTTAAGTCGCTATTTGGTTGTACCATGTCACTGCCGCTTCTGGCCAATCTGTCCGCTATTTCATTGCCTTCCAAGCCACAGTGACCCGGAATCCACTGCAGTACAGATTGTTCTACTGAAGAGCCTAAGTAAATCAGCTGTTCCGTCAAGTCTACAAACTGAGTGTCTTTTGGGTTAACAATTGCTTGTAGAACTGACATAGCATCAGTCAGAAAGACCACTCTGCTATATTTGCTGTGCTGTTGTCCATTCAGGAAAGAACATGCCGCTAGAAGTGCTTCTGCCTCTGCTCTGTAATTGGAGGAATATGAACCTGTTGGTACAGCCTGGTTGATTTTTAAACCATTTGGGCATTCTATGTATATTCCTCCTCCTCCGTCTCTTACTGCTCTCTTGGCTGAACCATCTGTATACACTCGAATCCAACTCTGGTGTGGGTAAAGTCTATTGATCTCCCTTCTGTAGTTGATTTCATATCAGTGCTGCTCATTGATGATTTGGAGGAGACCCCTGTTACAGTGGTTCTGACTGTTGGTAGGCTATCCCTAAGCCAAGCGGGGCAGTCGTTGTAAGGTTTAAGTGGAACATTTGGTATTATGGGAGGGAGTTTAAGGACAGCGAGCTTGGCATTTGCGTTCTTAATAAAGCAAGTTCTCTTTAGTCCAGCCTTCTGGGGTTTCTGTAGTCGGCTGTACATGGGTTGTTCTTGAAAGTGGTGGTATTTGGAGAGCTGGGAGAGGATCTTTGTGTCTCTCCTAACTTCCAGATTATGGAGACCAGTAATTGTTTCCATATCTGATATGGGCGTGGAGCGCATTGCCCCTGTCATAATACGGAGAGCATGGTTTTGGATCTTTGAGACTTTCTGAAAATTTGATTTAGCTGCTGTGCCCCAAGCAGCTATTCCATATTCTAGTGTTGGCCTCACATAGCCTGTATAGGTCCTCTTAAGGACATTGAGGTTTGCCCCCCAGTCTGTTCCAGCTAACTTCCTCATCAGTTGTGTTCTCTTGAGTCCCTTGCTCTGTGTCTTTTCTATCTGTTTTCTCCATGTGAGTCTTGAGTCAAAGGTTACTCCTAAATATGACGGTGAGTCATCATGTATCAGTGCCTGGCTGCCATATCTAAGTGAAACTTTCTGAATATGTGATTTCCAATGGTCTAAGGCAATCCCTTTGAAAAGGTTAAACTGCCCCCCCCCCCCCAAATGGCCATGACCCACAGGTTGAGAACCACTGTTCTAGTTTCTTCATTTTTAATTTCTTGTTCTCAAGCATTTCACACGAATGTATGTCGCATGTCATGTCAATGACCTCAATTGTTCTCAAGTGACTGGTTATTCCATGAAATAATTCATTTTCTTCTGGTATACTTTATCCTGCCTGATTATAGAACAGACCCTAAACCAACCTGTTCTAAGTCATTTTATTTTTTGGCATCATTTGCAGCTAATCCCATATCCTTCTTACTTCACCTCTCATTCTTTACTCCCTGTGCATGTTAAGCTCCCTTTATTTTATTAGCACTGTGGGTTCCAGAGAAAGGACATTCAGGTAGTATTACTATCAGAATATAACACTGAGTGAGGCGATGTACAATTTACTTACGAATAACATGGAAGATAGCGTCGCAAGCACTAATGTTAGACAAGAAAGCATTTCCTAAACCCTTGCCCTCATGAGCTCCTTTGACCAGACCAGCGATGTCCACAACATTGAGGTAGGCTGGTACCTTGCTGTGAACAGAACAACAATAGAAAAATCACAACACACACCCTGTGTCAAAGAATAAAAACTACACTCTGATTTCTTATTTGGTTGCTTGTGGGAGATTTAAGAAGTCTGTGAAATAATTTACAGAAAACCTCTCAACTTAAGAATGCAACTATTTCTGCAATTCTAATATTCAGAAATTGTAAAAAGTTCTTCCCTGTGTGGGTTGCAGGGTCCCATTGTTGGGGATAGCAAGAATAGACCCACTGACTCCCTAACAAGCAAGTCATAAAAGTTGACTAGTTAGGGGTGTTTCCATCGAATCTGGAGTGCACTACTGCCTGAGAGGCGAGGAACCACCAGTCTGCATACACACATCTGTAAAATGGACGTGCCTTAAAAGTTCTGGAACAAGGCATGAGCTGTGATTTCCATGCCCCCTTATAGGACAATACAACACTATCATCTGGAAAGACTAAGAGATGCCAAAATCATCCAATCTAGCTAACCTTAAAAAAATACACAGGCCTCTCCATAAATGCAAAGTCTGAGTTTGGTCATGAATACTCAGATGGTTCCAAAACTGGGAAGTGGCAAAGAGATCTGCAACACAGTCACCATGGAGATGTTACTTAGTATCAGGTCTAGAGGAAAGTTTCTAAATATATGGGGCAGAATATTAGACGGACTTGCACGACCAATTCTTATCTCTCTGAAAATAAAGTCTGTTCATTTGTTTGTTCACACGAAAAAGCATGAGCTGTCTTCATGGTCCAAACAACCAGACAATCATCATCATCTTCTATCCTACAGGTTATGCCATAAGTCCTCATAGAGAGGAGGTAGATGTAGTTTACTGTCTTTTGCTAGTTTTATAGCTTGGGTTAATGTCATATTGCATTTCTGTACTGTCTCTTTAACTGCCTCCAACCAACTCTTTCTTGGTCGGCCTCTTGACTTGTAGCCTGCTGTTCTTGTGTATTAAGCTTGACTGTGTTCCATTCTGACCAGATGACTAAACTATTTATATATGTTATGTTCTATAAAATCATTTACCGGTACCAGAGTGTTAAAATTTGGTCTTTCAGAAGATTCACCAAACAATAAAGAAGATGTAAATAAACAATATTTTAAAATTTGCATCTACAATCTCCTTGGGAGCAGCAGCAGCAGCCTAGAAGCTGGTCCAGAAGTCTTGGATCTGAATCCTTATGGAGGTTAAAAAACACCTTGGCTCTCAGGTCAACCCAGCCCAATATAGTCACCAAGTATAGAGAGAATGGCAGACAACAGAGAAAAACTGCATACATAAAAGAGTTGATTGACAGCAGCCATGAGGCAGAACAAGAAAGTGTTGGATAAATATATAGACAGAGCTAAAAACCCTTGGAGTCACTAAAGAGAAAAAGATGAGCAATCACACAGATCAAGTGATGGAGGCAGGTAATATCTGTAGCAGGGCTCATAATGATGAATAATAAGATTACTTACATAAATATAACATTCAATATCCTGCATTTATGTCAGATTCACAAGTGATATAATAATTACCTCAGAGGCTCATAGAACTGACAAAGGTAATCAAATCTTTTATCAGGAACAGGCACTCGACCTAAACACAAACAAACATGAATCAAATGTATTATTCTGAGTATGACGATAACTGAGTAAACTGCAAGATGTTTATTATGGTAACATATAAAACATTGAGCCTTTTGCCCCTGTAATGTACTTCTTTGTGTTCACTAGGGGTAAACTCAGGCAGGAAAGTTCTGGCTGTTCGTGCACTTCTGAATTTTGGTCTTGTTCCAGAACTTGTTTTGCGTATACATCCATTTGAGAGATTTGGCTTATTTGAAGCAGAATGTTTGTCCTCACCTCTTAGGCAGATACACTCTTATTTTGAAGAAGCATTTAAAAATGGACCACCTTAAACTGTCAAATGTTTTCATTCCACCGTCCGCCATCTCTGTTTGTCTTTTAAAGGGGTGGTGATCACGCCATCTTGTGATATACAGCTAAAATGCAACAGCTGTGCCTTCTGTCCCAAAATATAACTTCATCAAACCCTTCATTAGCTGCCAATTATGACATGCTTGTTAAGGGTCAGTGGACCCCCTCCCCCCCTACCCCAAGGGGGCCCCGAAATTCACATGCTAAATATGCTGTCTCAACTTTAAATATACAGTAAAACGTAACGTGAATTCCAAGGCATCGAAAAAAGTGTTCATGTTCTTCTTAAGAGAGTTTGTGCTAATGAGATATTACTGTAATGAGATTTTACTGTAATGTCTTTTTCCTTCCACAGTATCCCTAGTGTTAAAAAAAAACCTTTAGCCTTTTTATTCCCTAAATTATTTGTTATTGCTTTATTTGTTCCATATCTTTGCAGTGTGCTTCCACCTATTAAATCGTGGAATAAAACAATGCATGACAAATATTTTTTTTTAAATGAAGTAACAGGACTTACTTTCATTTGGATCAATTGTACAAAATGGAAAATTTTCTGCTTGGGCCTCACTTTTTGTCAAGCAATTGAAAAATGTTGACTTCCTAGGGTGGAAAGAATTAATCACTTGAATAAAAATGACTAAAAAATATACTTTAATCACAAAAAGCAGAGAAGTCCACTTTAACACAAAGAGCAGAGAAAGTACTTTAATGTCAACGACTAAAGAAAAAACAGTATAATCATAATGATTAAAGAAAAGTATATAATTTGACAGTTTTAGACATAGTCATCTGACAAACACATTTATCAGACACTGACTGCAAACATGCAAATTTAAAATTCACCTAAAAAGACTTTGGCATTTGCATTTCCAGGATACAAAGAAAAGCAATGATGGAATAGTATCACTGTAATCCAGAATATGTCACGGAAGACATTAAAAGACATAAAGGAAGATTATAATAAAATCTGGCAGAGACTGGCTAAAGAGTTTTTCAGCAATCCAAGCTCTTGAGGTTCATTGCTGCAGATATCACCTGCCTCCATTAAATGTTCTATTTCCAGATGGCGACTCCAAATATAGGTAGGTCTGATTATATAATTTTCTCTCCACCATCTTCTTTGTCATGAAGTGTACTCTCAGTCAACTCTTTAAAAAAAAAAGTTTTTGTCTTCCTGTAACCTGAAATTCTCTTTATATGCTCCAGCCACTAAAATCTTTTTACCTTTATGATGCCAATAATAAGCAGACATTTAAACAGTTTATGAATTTCTTAGTTGCTTGTCCCTCTAGATTCTCGGGTGCTTGCATCTGATGAGTCAAAAGATTCGTGGTAAGTTAATTCTCAAAACAGCAAATGTGGTCAAGGCCCTTTGAGAACAAGCTACAGAATCGTAGAGATAGAAGATTATTATGGCCTGGAGAGAACGAGGCATCTAGGTGTGACCAGGGGGTCTAGCCTGCTCACTACACTAAGAGGAAACGCAAGATGGACATATAACCAGATTGTGGCCAGTACAATCGGTACTGGAACTCTGCGCTGGCTGCTGAAGATAAGGACAAAGCATGCATGGGAATGCCCAGAGTACTGTGATGTCAATTCTTGACTGAACTCAACTCTCAAAACTAAGCAGCAGCTGCTTAAGGTAATACATGTTTGAATCTTTTGTTGAGATTCAATTAACACAATGGAACAAAAGGAACTGAAGTAACAAAACTGACAGAATGGGTTAAGACTACTGCTTTTTTAGGGTTATCTAGCACTCAGAAAAATATATCAATCTGGGCACCTGCAGTCTATGAGTATGGGGCGTTATCTGGTACTGAAAGAGTTCGATATAACTTTTTCACCCTTAAAAGGATGGTTGACACATTGTGCTGTGTACAGCCAGGCCATAATATATGTGCCCTTTAGGCCAATATATCTTAATTCAGCAAATAGTTAATTAGTCGCTTTTTATGACATGTTAAGAGGCTGTAGGTCCAATCTTCTCCCTAAAATGGTCCCACACAACCCATAAGCAGAAACACACAATATTCTTTTCCTGCCATTTATTCCCTTACAAAGCACAGGCACTCAATCTGTGCTTAACATTTTTTTTCTTCTTCAACTTGTAGCCATGCGGCTAAATCGTCAGGCTCACGACCCAAAAAAGTAGTAAAACACAGTAGTGACAGTTGATATTAAGGCGGCCACTAGAGGTCAGTTATTTTATTTCAATGATGTAGCCAATCGTCAGTTATTTTATTTCAATGATGTAGCCAATCGCCTACCCTTACAAGGGTACAGTATTACAATTTGCTGCTTCCCTTAATTATCACACAGGTGAAAGCACAATAGAAAAAAAAAACATGAGAACAAGGTCTTACCCTACATTTGGCAGACCTACAATTCCAATTTTTAGATTGGTTCCAACTCTGCCAATGAGAGGTGGGGGTTTCTCCCCATCATCCTTCTTCTTTGGTGGCATTCTTCAGTGTAGAATATTCTATGGTGGTGAGGAAAGGGGAGGGAAGGAGGGCAAACAATAGCATTAAGTAGTGAATGACAAATTATTTGGCTAGGCAAACCCAAAATGATCGGGTTTGAATATGCAAATCCATCATAATCCTCCCGTCATGCCATTACATGTCACATAGGGCTCACTGTCTACTCCTGCACAATCCTTTTGATATCATAGATGGAATCCAGACCATCACCTTTGACCTCTCTCATCCTTGTTCATCATAGATTTCTCCTGGACATCCTCATTTCCTCAGTCCATTTATTTCCCATTTCAGTTGGCGATTCTCTGCTCTTCTTCTACTCAGGATGTGACCGATGTAGTGCCATCTCCTTTGGCTTATAACTAGCTGTTGATATCAGTGCTTAGCCAGATGTTTCTCTGATTTCTTTGCCGCCTTTCTTGAATTCATCCTGAAGAATTTACTTTTAAATGCATGACTTAACTTTCATTCTGTCTTTAGCTGTTCACAGGTTAAAATTAAAAAAACAAAAATAAAAAATGTGTAACTTGATTTTAAAACTACACAACTTAAAGTTCTTTCACTCTGCCCCCCCCCCCCCCCTCCACAGCCGTACCCATTTCTGCAGCCTGAACATTACATGCTACTGCACCCAGACTCACTCTCTTACCATCTTTTCCATTCGTTCTAAAAAGGGCGGTTGGCACACTGTGTTGTGGTTACAGCTAGGCTACATCTCTGCACAAATATTCAATTTCAGCAAACTCCTAATTAGTCACCTTCGGTGAAATGCTTGTTGGGGGCAGTGGGTCCCCACTCCCCCCAAATGGGGCCATGGAACCCCAACAGGGATCCTACTGATCAGAACCTCACCTCCAACCTTATTACCATGTTCATACCACAACTCCATTACTGAGCCAGAGCTGTCCTCACATCTTGACCTGTCCTTCTCTTTGTTCCTTTTAATGGATCTGGCAAACTTGGCTTGCCAGTTATGCATTTTTTAAAAGCATTATCAAATTAGAAATGTCAGTGTAATAGTAAGGGTTTTAGTGTGTGTTTGTGGGTGGGGCCATTTTTTTTTTTAAGATCTTATCATGCAGCATGCATACTTGTCTTATTGTGTCTTCTGCTTGAGCCATTCATGATTTTCCCATTGTCAGCCTCTGATGCATAACTGCATCCAAAGCTTCATACAGAGGGTGCTTTTTATCTGCAGCTACTCTAAGGTCTGATGACTTAGCCTGCAGCACTTTTAGCCTATCTGCAATAGTCGGCAATGCAAGGATGTATCGCATGCACACAATCGGAATGTCTCTTGTACATCCCGGGAATCACCCGCATAGCTTCATTCTGTATGGGCTTCAGTTTCTCGAGCTGACTCTTCAAGACAGTGAGCAAACCCAATCCATAATCATTTAATGAGATGATTAAGTGCTGGTATAGTGTGAACAGCATTCTTTGCTCCATGTCGATTGCTGCCATAATCTTTAGTGCATCAAGACCTTTTTAGGCCTTTGACACAACCACCTCTATGTGATCTGTGAAAGACAAGCTTCTGTCAAAGGTGATTGCTAGGCACTTCAGTCTGCTGTCTCTCTTCATATCCCTGCCATTTATTTTAAGGCTTGGAGCATCAGCTCTAACAATCCTGTTGTCCAAAGAACACAGGATGAAGGATGGTTGCCTTTTCTGGGGTGACTACAGCACTCATCTCTGTACACCAGTCAATCACCTTATCTACTGTCTCCTGTAACTCCTGAGCAAATTGATTTGATCTTCCCCTGCCTCTATGCGAGAAAATCATCTGCAAATGTCAGTATTCTACAAACTTCAGGTGTTTCCAGTCCCGCAATCTTGCTCGTAAACACATTGAACACTACAGGTGAAATTGCAGATCCCTGTGGTAGTCCTGGATGTGGTTTGGAGGTCCATAAACCCAGGCGGAGAGCTACCCGACGAGAAGACAACAAAGCAGCTGCTATCCAGTTTACCAAACAAGGACAGACTCCCTTCTCCATAAGCGCTGTAATCTAGATATTATATCTGACTCTGTTGTAGGCATCTTCGAAATGAGTAAATCCATTGCCAGTACCACCGTTTCCAGCCTGTTCCGGAAACCTTCAAAGGCGTCAATGGCAAAAGTGGCTGCATTTGACCATGTATCCTTCCCTGGCCGGTAACTTAACTCCCAACCCTTCTCAGCTTCTGGAAGGAGCTTTCTTCTCTGTTCCAAAAATTATTGTCGCTTACCCGCCACTATCTTCTCTAGCACTCTGCAAAAAGTGTTTTGTAAAGTTATGATCCTAAAAAAAACCGTTGAATGTTGAATGATCATGATCCTTGCCAGGCTTGAGTGCCTTGAGAAGTGGAATCACTATCAGGTAGCTTTCCAGTCAATTCTAATTCATCAGCAGCAGTGCCTCTTTTCTCGCTATCGAGATTAGGCAGAAAAAAGAAAAATCTTCAGATGATTATATATTTTTCCCACAACCCAAATGAAACAGAACGACAAGTAAGCAGTTTGAAGCCAGGGAAATCAGACTTACAGTTCCTGAAATATCGCAGGTTTCTAACGTGCTTCTTCTCGCTGACCAAATGTGGAAACACATAACACGATAGTCACTTCCGTTTCTGTGCTCTTGCTCGGATTCTCATTAGTTCGGTAAATTTAGTTTCTTGTTAACACTCTTGCATCATACAATGAAAGACGTCAACTAAGACTTATCCACCCCACCCACACCTCCCTTTTTTTTTCTTTTTATTTAAATTTTAAAAGGACTGCAGGTTAAAATATTGGCGCATAACGACTCAAAGGGTCACTTTCAGATGCGAATCCAAAAAGGGCAAATTCCAGACAGTCCGCTCATTTGATTTGATTCAAGAAGCGACATCACAGCACTCGGGGCAATCATTCAAGCGCCCCGTCCCCATCTTCAGCAGCCAGCGAAGAGTTCCTATACTAATGGTGCCAGTAGCATTTTGATTAAACATCCGTCTTGCCTTTACTCTGAGTCTCGAGCATCTGCCAGAACCTCTCGTCACTCCCCTTTGCATTAATCTCATCAGACTGTGGTGATCCATCTGCTCCTCCGAACTGTTCACTCTCTCCCACAAGGCAATAACCACGTCTGCCTTATTATGCATCAGTATTCCACCAAGTTGTGCAGAGCCAGCCAGTCTGTCCGCCTGTTCATTTCCCAACACACTGGCGTGCCCTGGCGAAAAAATCCAGAAATACTCCTAACCTGTGTCCTCATAAGCGAAGCATGCCACTCTGTACGAATCATCGCCGGAGCTACGGAGCACGTGCTCTGCGCTTGACACATTTTTCAGTGAAGAAAGGGTGAGGAGGAGACGGCGAGGGAATGGGGAGAGAAGAAGGCGTAGAAATAGGAGGGCAGGTGCTAGGAGAACAAGACGAAAAGCGGAGAGATTGAGCTTTAATCATGTAAGAGTAGGGTACTGGAACTGTCGGAGTGCTAGGCAGAGAGGTCATGTACTGAAGAGGTTGATTTTTTATTTTGATGTCATCATGCTCCAGGAGCCCGCTTAAACATATCTTATGTTGATTTTTAGTATAGTCCATGCCGCATGTCGGCTCTGTAGCTAAGTCCATGCGAACGCTTCGTAATGCCGGGGTGCCGAGTTCGATCCCAGCTGCGGGGCATGCGCCTTGCGTTGGTTTCGACAGTGGTATCAAGAAAGCCGACCGTCCATGAAGCAATGGCAAACTACTGGACGTAAATTTACCTAGAAAAACCACACAACAGCCAGGGACTGTTGGGGTTGGTTCTGCAACGTCCTGTAAATGATACGCAACTAATCTAACCATGCCGCATGGCGTTGATAACGAGCCATGTCTTTGCACAAACGTATGTCTCGGGTATTTTCAAATATTTCATTTACAGAATAACCGCAATGGCATGATGTCAAACTGTCAGAACCTACTCTCTTGGTCTCATTTAGCATCGTTTCTCGTTGTCACGACGTACCCCATTTTCCCTTTCTCACGATGTTACCAAAGAATGTTTGTTTTTGATGCGAGTAATCGGTTTTTTTTAGTCAAAATAATTATTTTAAGTCATCTTCGTTACACTTATTTTTTTGTTCACTGTATTCCCATCCTACTTCTATAAAACTACATTTCTACAACTTCCAAATAATTGTTCATTAATACGCTAGCTTTCCACGATTCTTTATCCTTTAGCCACCGGAGAAGCTCAAGACTGTTGCCACACAGCTAATAACTGCAGAACGTATTTCCCCCCAACTGTTTTTGGGGGTCTATGTATTTTAAGTTATAGAGGGAAATATGCTCCTGGGCTATAACCTGGGTCGACCCAGAACAACCCCATTTTATCTATCTGGGCTGCAGCTGATTCAGACTCTTGCCCAGAGGTAAGGTGTCAAGAATCCAGATAACGCTGACCAGGTAGACTTGGTGGCCCCAGTGAAGTGGAAAGTACAGACCTACTAGCTTGGGGTGTCAACATTATCAGAGGCCAGAACTTTAGGGGCAGGTACATCATGAAAGTGTCTAGGTCTGATGGCTAGTGCTGACATCTGTCCGTTGAATGTTATTAGCAGGGGGAATGTGGAAGGAAGGTGTGACTGTTTATGGCCATACCAAGCTTGACAGACCATGGGAACGTAACCTAGTGTTTGCAAACAAGTGTTTGTGCCTTCCTGACTGACAAGCCGTTAATCATTGGACTGACCTCCAGGGCGGAGCTTTAACATCCCTCGAGGGAGAGAGTTTAAAATAGGTAAGAGGAGGTGCTTAGGAGAGATTATAAAAGGGGCTACAGTAGGGTTGGGAAATTTAACAGCGACACGCGCAAGAACCAGCAGCAGCAGATGTCCTGCAGCCTAGAGATTCTACAGTGAGCCCGTTGCAAAAGGGAGTGGCACACCGCCGCGACCTGTCGAAGCGGGCCAATATGTCGATACTGCTCAGGGACGCACGACTTTAAGAGCGCCCCCTGGCAAAACTAGACCAGGA